TTTGCTAGGTATGAAAATAGCATGGTGATTATGAAAAATAATTCTTATCAGTAATGCTTACTGAAGTATTTAGGGTTGAAATGACTTGATAACTAAGATTGAAATATTCAGAAAAAAGAAGCATGTGGGGAGTGGTGTTACAGGTGCAATACGGTTGGGGAAATGTTAATGATTAAAGATGGACTTGGTTACATGAGTTCATTATACTATTCTCTCTACTTCTGTATGTTCGAATTTTTCATTAATAAACAGTAAAAGGAATAAATGAGGAGGCTTGCAGAGAGGAAAACAGTAAAACACAGTAGTTAAAAGTTCTAGGCTCAGATGCACCATTGATATTTAAAGTTTGTCTTTTCATCTGTCAGTCTATAACTTTATAGCATAGTCCAATAACTGGTGATAATACTGGTTTTTAACTTCCTGCTTCTGATGCTGGCTCTGCCACTTCCCTGGCTGGGGGACTTTGGCCAAGTGATTTAACCTTGCTGAACCTCTGTTGCTTAGCTGTGAAACAGGGACTATATCATGACCCCTGCCTCACTGAGTTATTTTGAAGACTAAACAAGAGGATGGATTGAAAAGGCTTAGCACAGTGCCCGGCATGCAATAAGCATTCAATAAATGCTTCGGTGTTAGGAGCACAGGTTTAGGAGTCAAGCTACCTTGGATGTGAACCCTAGCTTGGCTCTGCCACTTGTGGCTGTGTGACTTTGGCCAAGCTATTAACTCTCTGAATCTTGTTTCCTCCTGGGAAAAATGAAGATCATAATAACTGCCTTGCAGGACTGTTGTGAGGATTAAATGACAGGACATGTTTTGATGCCCAGCATGGCCCATGTGGGAATTTCCCTTCCGCACCCCTTGACTTTCAGCAGAGCTGGCCTTGCCAGCTCCCAGGCTGGAGTCGATCCCACTGTCCATTTGCTTGACTTTTGCACCTGGACTGCCAAGTGTGGCTGGGGAAAGTCAACAGAACCATGTGAATGGCTCCTCTCAAATGGCAAATCTATGTTGGGAAACATCAGCGAGGCTCTTATGCTCCCAGACAGTCCTACCACCCCTCTCTGGGTACTTCCTCCTGTGTTTCACAGTAGCTGGTCCAAACTTTTCCCACTATCCATTCATGCTACTCTTCTCCCTGCCTCAGCCTTAGAAACTGACCTCAACTCTCTTGACCAAGGTCATCGATATGAGTACCTTTCTCTCAACCTCCCAATACCACTGATTCTTACCTCCATCTTTTCCTTTCTCTTATCCTTTCATCTCAAAAGTCAGAGTGCCCCTCTCCTTCCCAAGGCTTTAGAATTTACTCCATCACCTCTAGCCCCCTAATCTTCAGTATTTTCTCTCCATTGGTTGTACCATCTCAGCCAAAAAAACCTTGCTCAACTACATTAATCTCCCTTAAGTCTTACTGTGACTCTGCTGTTCCCTTGTTCAATTCATTTATTCACTTATCCACTCATTTAAAAAAACATTTGTTGAATGCCTACCATGTGCCAGGCACTGGAGGTACAGAGATGATTAGAGACAGTCTTTGCCCTTAAAGTCTTCAAAGTTCAGAGGGAGAGTCAGATTCGCAGATGGGAGTATGACAAATGAGATGCGAAGATGGACCCGTGCTTGATGCTGAGATTTCCTGGGTGTGCAGTGGGAGGAAGGGGAAGCCCAAGGATGGCTCTCAGCTTTCTGGTCTGTGCCAATGGGTGGATGGTAGTGCTTTTCACTGAGACATGAAATGAGGAAAAGGGGAGGAGGATCTTGGTGTGGGGGGAGATGTTATGTTCTGTTTGGGATATGATGAGTTTGAGGCACTATTACACCATCCCAGTAGAGATCGCCAACAAATCTTCAGTTTAAGGGAGAGAGTGGTCTGAACTGGAATTAGAAATGTGAGGATCATTAGCATAAAGTAATTGAAATCATGAATGTATAAAGAGGACCCTCTGCTGCAAGTAATAGAATAATTATACTATGATGACATTTGTTATGTCACATCTTAAATAGTGAAGGAGGTGGGCAGCACGATGATGGCATCAAGGACCCCAGTACTTTCTCTAGTTCTCCTTTGCCCTTCTCAAGGGACAGATTTCTTCCTAGACTTGTCCTATCTTGGTTGCAAGATGAAATGATACCTACAACCCCCTTCAAAGGCAAGAATGAAGCTTTCTTCTTCTACTTGACTTTTTAACAGGGAGGAAATCTTTTTATTTTTAGGCAAAGGAGAATGGGATTATCGTGATAGTTAAGCCTTTGTTCTCGGTGGCAGTGGAGAGGCCCACCTTCCTGGAGTACAATGCTGCCTGCACAAAACTGCACAAAGGGATGGCCTCTTTTCAACCCTCATCCTCCTCTAGCCCCTGGCTGCCCTGGCATCGTTGACCTTTACAGTTAAGTAGAGACAAGAGAAATTTGGGCTCCTGAGTCAAGCATATCTGGGTTCGTGTCCTCGAGCCACTTGCAAGCTGCGTGACCTCAGAGAAGTTGTTTTACCTCCCTGTGCCCGAGTTTCCTCATCTGTAGAATGAAGAGTATAATGTTGTGATTTATAATAAGAAATATATATTTGGTCTTCACCTGCCCATTTCTGGCTCACAGCTGAGAGTGATAAAAGTCTTTTGTTATGTGAATGAGGTAACTTAGAAGCACCAAAGGATGGGGGCTAGTTGCCAGGAGAACCAACCTGGTGATTAGAGAGTTGGAACTTCTTCCCCATCTTCCCCCCACTCAGCAGAGCTGGCCTTGCCAGCTCCCAGGCTGGAGTCGATCCCACTGTCCATTTGCTTGACTTTTGCACCTGGACTGCCAAGTGTGGCTGGGGAAAGTCAACAGAACCATGTGAATGGCTCCTCTCAAATGGCAAATCTATGTTGGGAAACATCAGCGAGGCTCTTATGCTCCCAGACAGTCCTACCACCCCTCTCTGGGTACTTCCTCCTGTGTTTCACAGTAGCTGGTCCAAACTTTTCCCACTATCCATTCATGCTACTCTTCTCCCTGCCTCAGCCTTAGAAACTGACCTCAACTCTCTTGACCAAGGTCATCGATATGAGTACCTTTCTCTCAACCTCCCAATACCACTGATTCTTACCTCCATCTTTTCCTTTCTCTTATCCTTTCATCTCAAAAGTCAGAGTGCCCCTCTCCTTCCCAAGGCTTTAGAATTTACTCCATCACCTCTAGCCCCCTAATCTTCAGTATTTTCTCTCCATTGGTTGTACCATCTCAGCCAAAAAAACCTTGCTCAACTACATTAATCTCCCTTAAGTCTTACTGTGACTCTGCTGTTCCCTTGTTCAATTCATTTATTCACTTATCCACTCATTTAAAAAAACATTTGTTGAATGCCTACCATGTGCCAGGCACTGGAGGTACAGAGATGATTAGAGACAGTCTTTGCCCTTAAAGTCTTCAAAGTTCAGAGGGAGAGTCAGATTCGCAGATGGGAGTATGACAAATGAGATGCGAAGATGGACCCGTGCTTGATGCTGAGATTTCCTGGGTGTGCAGTGGGAGGAAGGGGAAGCCCAAGGATGGCTCTCAGCTTTCTGGTCTGTGCCAATGGGTGGATGGTAGTGCTTTTCACTGAGACATGAAATGAGGAAAAGGGGAGGAGGATCTTGGTGTGGGGGGAGATGTTATGTTCTGTTTGGGATATGATGAGTTTGAGGCACTATTACACCATCCCAGTAGAGATCGCCAACAAATCTTCAGTTTAAGGGAGAGAGTGGTCTGAACTGGAATTAGAAATGTGAGGATCATTAGCATAAAGTAATTGAAATCATGAATGTATAAAGAGGACCCTCTGCTGCAAGTAATAGAATAATTATACTATGATGACATTTGTTATGTCACATCTTAAATAGTGAAGGAGGTGGGCAGCACGATGATGGCATCAAGGACCCCAGTACTTTCTCTAGTTCTCCTTTGCCCTTCTCAAGGGACAGATTTCTTCCTAGACTTGTCCTATCTTGGTTGCAAGATGAAATGATACCTACAACCCCCTTCAAAGGCAAGAATGAAGCTTTCTTCTTCTACTTGACTTTTTAACAGGGAGGAAATCTTTTTATTTTTAGGCAAAGGAGAATGGGATTATCGTGATAGTTAAGCCTTTGTTCTCGGTGGCAGTGGAGAGGCCCACCTTCCTGGAGTACAATGCTGCCTGCACAAAACTGCACAAAGGGATGGCCTCTTTTCAACCCTCATCCTCCTCTAGCCCCTGGCTGCCCTGGCATCGTTGACCTTTACAGTTAAGTAGAGACAAGAGAAATTTGGGCTCCTGAGTCAAGCATATCTGGGTTCGTGTCCTCGAGCCACTTGCAAGCTGCGTGACCTCAGAGAAGTTGTTTTACCTCCCTGTGCCCGAGTTTCCTCATCTGTAGAATGAAGAGTATAATGTTGTGATTTATAATAAGAAATATATATTTGGTCTTCACCTGCCCATTTCTGGCTCACAGCTGAGAGTGATAAAAGTCTTTTGTTATGTGAATGAGGTAACTTAGAAGCACCAAAGGATGGGGGCTAGTTGCCAGGAGAACCAACCTGGTGATTAGAGAGTTGGAACTTCTTCCCCATCTTCCCCCCACTCTGGGCAGGGGAGAGGGGCTGGAGGTTGAATCAGGCGCCAATGGCAAGTGATTTAATCAGTCATGTCCATGTAATGAGGACAGGGTTTGGAGAGCTTCTAGGAGGTCCTGAGAGAATAGCACACCTGGCAAAGGCTTGGAAGCTCCCTGCTCCTTCCCACATACCTTGCCCTATGCATCTCTTTGTGCTGGTTGGAAAATTACTGCTCGGCTATCGCCCATGGGAACATAACGCTCTAACAATAAGCTTTCTGCTTCTCTACCCCCGCTTGCACAACCGACCTGTAGGTTGACAGTAAAAAGAAGAAAAGTAGATTTGTGTGTTCAAACAGGATGAAGAATGGGGGTTTAGGTCTTAAAAACCCTGTACCTCTACATTTCAGGGCTGCTTGATTTGGGGTCTGCGTACCCCTGGCAGACCTAGCTGGCTGAATAAAGTGTGTGTTTCCTATAACTCACTGATTTCTGGTAGTCCGTGTGTCTATCGGAGGCTGGCGGCTACATCTTCTGTCTGGCTGCTCCTGAATTATATCTTTTTTTAATAATAAATCTTTGATCGAGTAAGTAAAATATTTCTCTGAGTTGTGCGAGCCATTCTAGCAAATTAATAGAATCTGAGGAGAGGAGGTCATGGAAACTTCCAGTCTGTAGCCAGTCAGTCAGCAGCATAGGTAAGAGCCTAGGCTGATGTCTGAGGTGGGGGATGGTTTTGTGGGACTGAGCCCTTTACCTGTGGAATCTGATGCTATCTCCCAGGTAGATAGTGTCAGAATTGAGTTGAATCTTGGATACCATGCCAGTGTCTGAGAATTGTTTGTTGGTGTTGGGGTACTCCTGCCCCTATGTCGAAATTAGGTCCAGGAATCCTTTTCAGGGATATAATAGTTCTTACATTGTTGAGATGATGAAATAATATGATGCATACAAAGCACTTAGCAAAGTGTCTGGCACATAGTAAGTGCTCAGCAAAAACTAACCATTAACATTTTGAGGGGACTACCTTTTCTTGAAATTCCCAGCCCCTTGTCCTCTAGGCCTCCTTCTCTTTCTCTGACTGGTCCCCCTCTTCTTTTCCCTCTTACTCCCAAGATTGGGTTCTCTGCCCTTACTACTCACTAGGTCTTGTCTTAGGGCTCCTCTCCAGGCTGAAGCCAGCAAACCTACTCTCCTGCTGTCCCTCTTTTGTGAGATCCTGGACACTCCTCCTGTATGTTCCACACTCTCTTAGGCATATCCTGAGGCTTGATGTCACTTCCCACTCTCACCCCAGCACCTTATACCTGGTAACCCTAATGTCCCTTTGCATGAGATTCTACCTTAAAAACAGCCATTAGAACTGCTCTCATGACTTCTACCTGCCACCATGGAAGATGTCCAGAAGGACATGGAAAAAACATTAAATTGATGCAGAGGGGAGCATGTGGATAACTTCCAAGCGACTAGGTAGGGCTTAGTTATTTCTATCTGCCTCCCTAGGCTGTGAGCCTCTCAGGGCAGGGAAAAGGATTACTCACCTATCTGTCACCTTGGTGCTTGCTGTGTAGTTAGTACTCAGAAAAATATCTGATGAATGAATTAAGATTCCTTGCTTTGCTACTCACTTTCTTTGACTTTGAATAAGGTCCTTATTTGACCCCAGTGTCAAATCTACAAAATGAAGAGATTGGACTGTTTTAAAGGAGCCCTTTCAGCTTTAAAGCGGCATTAGTGGCCAAGGGGTGGGAGGACAGGCTAGCCAGGACAGGGGTCTCAGGGTCTCCAGCAACATGCTATACTCAGGTCTGAGACAGAGGGATGGGCTCTGAGAGAGGGGCAGCCGTGCCCCCTCATCTTAGGAGCTGCCCAGGACTCCAGAGGAAGGATAGACCTGATTATGGTCAGTGAGGAGCACTGGCTGTTAACCTCATAAATCCCAGTGGCCCATTTTCTGAGTCCCATCCCCAACTCACCAGCCTGGTGTTCCCCAGTCCTCCCGTAAATCTGCCCATGAACAGGCTGTTCTTGTTTACGACCCCCATCCCAGGGGAACAGCGATTGCTCATCCCTACATGTGATTTGAGAGGCCGGTCGTGCAGGCCTGAAGGAAACACAAGCCCCGCCAGCTGTACTGGCACCAGAATGCTCAGCTGGTTCCCTCCTGGGGCTCATGTGACCTGAGTCTAGCTATAAATATCAGAGGGGCCTCAGACCAAGACAGAATTCGGGCGCCAAGAGAAGAAGGCTAAGAGGCTCCCGGCGGGAGTTTTGTGACAAAGGCGAGACCCAAGGTCTGCTTAGAGCAAGACAGGTAAAAGAGGCGGCCAGGTGGGTCCCACACCTCCCAACAGTATGGATTATAAATCAAGCCTGATCCAGGATGGGAGCCCCCTGGAGAACCTGGAGAAGCAGTTGATTTGTCCCATCTGCCTGGAGATGTTTACCAAGCCTGTGGTCATCTTGCCATGTCAGCACAACCTCTGCCGGAAGTGTGCCAGTGACATCTTCCAGGTCAGTGCTGGGCATGGCCTCATTTGGGGAGTCAGGTGGCTACTCACCTTTCCTGTGATGAAAGGAAATTAGGTCCAGGAATCCTTTTCTCTTAGCCCATCTCTCTTAGCCCAGAACCCTTCTAAACGGGGGCCAGTTCTTTCCCTTTTGAAGTGAATCTCTGCATCAGCCTCTGGACTGGGCCGAGGGGTCTGGGGAGGCGGCTGTGGCCGCCCGTTCCTTTTCCATGACGCACGTTTCCCCTCCCCACCCTGCCTGTGGTTCTGCCACCTGCTTCCTCTGCCCTGAGCACCACAGTTGACTCTTCAATCAGGAGTCAAATGCCTCAAGTGATAAGTGAGGGAGGCAGGCAGAGGAGAGAGAAACCAGACCCCTGGGGCTGGAGCCAGCTCCCTGGTGGCAGGTGGCCCAGAGCTTTAGGAGAATGGTGGCTGGGAGGCACTGGGCATGGAGACATCTTCCCTTTCGAAGCTGTTTCCTCTAATATAGGGCAGGAGGGGCTTCATCTCCCTAAGAAAGCAATGAGAGTAGATGTCCTGCCTGGGAGGCAGGACTCAAGGTTCCCCAGAAGCACTTTATAAAATGTTCTCTCACTATTTTATCTTTAAAGTAACTGGCTCCGATAATGCCAATTTGACCGAGGCTTAGAGAGATAAGGTTGCTTGCCCAAAGTCATTCAGAGAATAACCGTGACTTGAGCCCAGGTCTGCTGACTCCCAAACCTGTTGATCGCTTAGTTGCTTCTCAGAAGCCCCCTGGGTAAGTGGGCTGCCTCCCATCTCAGGACAGGGGCTCCATATTTGACAAGGTCATGTGGTTTGACAAGAATGGTTGGGGTAAGCAGGGGGAAGGATAATCGGAGATTAGAAGGGGCAGGGGCTAAGAAGGGAGCCCAAGCCGCACCTCTGCCCTTGCTGCCCGCAGGCCGCAAATCCCTACTGGACTAACCGGGGAAGCTCGATGTCCATGTCTGGAGGCCGTTTCCGCTGCCCCTCCTGCCGCCATGAGGTGATCATGGATCGTCACGGAGTGTACGGCCTGCAGAGGAATCTGCTGGTGGAGAACATCATCGACATCTACAAGCAGGAGTGCTCAAGGTCAGTTCGCTCGGGCGCTGGAAGCCCGTCCTCCCTCCCCAGCTGTTCTGTGCCCATCTCTCTGAGGCTCCTTCCTCCTTCATCTACTCCAGATCCAGTCCCCTGGCTGGACAAGCTACACTGGCCAGTCCAGAGAGCTGTCTCCCTCAGGCAGGAACAGAGGCTCACTCTGTCCCCCAGGCCTAACTCTTGGCATCACTCAGTGAATGGCCCAGGCTTCCCCTCCTGAAAAATACTGAGACAGGAACCAGGGGAAAGATGAGATATGAGAGGGTGACAGAGGCACTGGGGCCAGATAAGTGGCCCTGATAAGCAGAGAAAGTGCCCAGTGAGAACATAGCCGGTTTCTCTAAGTTCATAACAGCTATGAATCCATGTGCCCAGATTCTTTGCGCCAGGAGGCACAGCCCTGGGCCCTGGGAACGCTTCCTCCTGCTGTTTCGCAGCAACCTTATGGAGCAGGCCTGACTTTTATCATCCCCATTTCACAGCCGAGAAAGCTGAAACTCAAAGAGGTGAAGTCAGTTACCCGAGGTTTCCCAGGTGGGAGGTGGAAGATCTGGGAGTGGGCCCGGTCGATGGAGCTCCATCTCCCTCCCTCTGTCTCAGGCAGAGTTTGTGAGTGGTGGAGGTTGGGTAGTGTTGGGCCTCATACTGGAGAGAGACACAGCTACCAGGGGGATCTTTACAAATCAGGGCATCCCGACACGACTTCCAGGCTGCTGTCCTCACGGCTCTTGTCCAAAACCATTACCAAATATCTGTCTGCAGGCTGTGTCCTGCCCAGGGAAAGGTGACAGACCAGTCCTCGTGAGAAAAAGCCCTGGCCTGGTCTGACTCTGTTACTGATGTGTTGTAGGATCCTGTGTAAGTCTTTGGGCCTTCGCGTGCCCTGCTACAGAGGGAACAGTAAGCTTTGTTATTGTGACTGTCAAATAGGGTTTCTATGGAAAATGTTAAAAATCTCAAATATTTATTGAGCATCTACTGTATGTAGGCACTGTACTAAATATTTTCCATGGATTATCCCTATTGAATTCTCACAGTAATTCTATAAGACATTCTTACTCTCATTTTATGATGAGGAAATGGAAGCTCAGGGGGTATCAGAGATTTATCCAAGTGGTAAAACTGAGTGGGAGCCTGTCTGACTCCATGATGAACACGCCTAACAGCTATTGTCTCACAATGCGAATGTATTGTTGGTCATTATAATCACAATAAAATCAATATCGCACCAAAAGATTAGCCCACCCAGTGTTGACCTATGAAGACCATGTTGTGTTCCAACCCTTTGAGGCCTTTCTGTATACCTGGATGACAATGGTAGCTGCCTTTATCGAGGGTCTGCCCTGTGCCAGGCACTACACATTCAGTATAGACAACTCCTGCCATGATCCTAGGAGCCCTGGGAGGAAACGAAGGCTCAGAGAGGTGAAAGCACTTGTCCAGGGTCACAGAATGAATAAATGCAGAAAATCTGGATTCCAACCCAGATGCTAAAGCCTGGGCTTGGGAGATGTCTGCTATATTAGAAGCTGGGAAATCACAGGTATTTGTGATACCTGTGACTCTGAGTGAGTGTACAGTCTGGCTGGGGAGATAAGACCTAGACCCCCTCCACCCTCCAAATTGAATCTCAAGTAGGAAGTGACCGATTTCCTGAGAGAAGCATAGATAACATAGCAGAGACCCTAAGTGGAGAGAGAGAGAGACAAAGGGAGAAAGACATTCTAAGAATGTGTGTTTGGGACAAAAGAGAAGGAAGAGACTGGACTCTGGAAAGAGTTTCTGGCCAAGGTCAAGGCTTGTGCTGGACTGTCGGACTGTCCATGCACTAACTGCCTCCTTCTCTGAGCCTTGGGGCACCCTTGTGTCATGCTTACTGATTTATTATTTCTATCTGTATTTAATTACTACCTTCTCTGTGCCAGGCACTGCACACTGCAGATTCAGGAGTGAAGAGAATAGGCAAGTTTCCCTGCTTTGATGGAGGTTACAGTCTGGTGGATTAAATATAGAATTCAGTGAAGCCATGAATATAAATTGCTTCACTCACAGCCCAGCTGCAGAAACCAAGAGCTATGGTGACTATAATTAGAGCAAATGAACTCTAGCCTCCCCCGCCTTGACTGGCTGGGCGACCTTGGGCAAGTCAATTCACCTTCCTGGAGCCCAGTTTCCTCTTCTCAAAAATGTCTCCAGATCTGACTCTGGGATTCTACCAGCCTTCCTATATCTAGGCCAACTCCATCACTGGAGTTTGAATCCTAGGATGTGGGGACAGACTTGGTGTCATTGGCTTCCCTGGTCTTGGGTCCCCAAAGGATAAAAAGAAAAGAATTAGGGACAGCCAACCACTGAGAGCTCAGGTCATAGATCTGGGGTGGAGCTGTGATTGGAGCTAGGGGAAGAAACAGAGACTCGGGACCCCCACCATGTAACATGATTATTCTCCACTTCAGTCGGCCTCTGCAGAAGGGCAGCCATCCAATGTGCAAGGAGCACGAAGACGAGAAAATCAACATCTACTGCCTCACGTGTGACATGCCCACGTGCTCCATGTGCAAGGTGTTTGGGGCCCACAAGGCCTGCGAGGTGGCCCCGCTGCAGAGTGTCTTCCAGGGACAAAAGGTACTGGCCTGAGCCACTTCCACCCCAGCCTGGGCCTGCTGGGCATGGCCTGGTGATTCAGGATGTGGATTTGATCCCTGTAGATCTGCTAAGCTGGCCTTTCAGTGATGGTCCCTCTGAAGGGACTTCCCAGGCCACAGGGATAGCAGCCCTTGCCTTCCTGGGGGAGGTGGCTGAGCTCATGGGTTATACTTAGAGCCACTTGAGAGCACCTGGGTGTGGCCACAGGGGAGAGACTAGACCCCAGGGCCAGGCCACTAGGGGACTTCTCAGGCCATGACTTCTATACCACAGTGTGCTTTGGGTGCCAGATAACTCTTCCTATGCTGGTCACCTCTCCCAGTCTTCAAATTCCTCTGCAGCAGGAGGCAGATGAGAGCCCTCTCCCTGTATGTCTGGGTCTATGGGAGGCCCACTATCCTGTCCGTGCAGTAAGCTGTGGCCCCTCTTTCCATGTTCTTTCTTATTCACCCGCTCTTCTCTTGATCTCTTGTAGAACTCTCAACTCTTTCTCCCTTCTTTCCTAGAACAAGCCCCTCTTCTGCCAGTACCTTGCTATGTATTTTGGGCAGCTCACTTCCTCTCTCTGTGCTTCATCTGTAAAATAAGGGCAACAGAATCCCTCTGATATTCTCTGCCCTGGACCTGAACTGTACCTTGGAAAGAGGGGCCAGACAGTTACTAGAGGCTCTTTCTAGCAGAAAGGGGACTGAGAGTGCCATTTTGCTGCCAACTCCCAAAAGGACAGGCCCTGGGACTATTTCTGTCTTTCTTCTGATGCCTCACCCCTTCCTCCCATGTAGACTGAACTGAGTAACTGTATCTCCATGCTGGTAGCCGGGAATGACCGTGTGCAAACCATCATCACTCAGCTGGAGGACTCCAGTCGAGTGACCAAGGTGAGGGGACAATAATTCTGCCTGGGGGGTTAAAGCCTCCGGTGCTGCCTCTGGGGTGAAGACTCACCCATGATTTGTGGTTAAATGTTGGGGCCTGGAGCCTGAGCTGTTCAAACAGGGATAGTTGGGAGGGACTGACTAATCCATTAATCCATTCATTCAACAAATGCTTCTTGAGCGCAGCTGTGTGTCAGGCCCTGCCAAAGGCACTGGGGCTGGGGTGGAGAACAAGACAGACCCAGTCCCTGACCTCAGGCTGTGTCCCACTGATAATTCCCAGTATTGTTTTTAGCACTGATAGTTTTTAAAGCCTTGTTCTCTGGTGTGCTGTAGACCAAGGCTTCAAACTTTAAAATGCTTACAAATCACCTTGGAGTCTTATTAAAATTCAAGTTCTGATTCAGTAGGTCTGGAATGAGGCATGAGATTCTGCGTTTCTCACAAGCTCTCAGGGTTTGCCCAAGTTGCTGGTCCATGAACCACACTTCGAATAGCAAGACCATAGTGGCAGAAGGAAACTTTTCTAGTTCTGCAAAAGCATCTGTGATTTTCTATCTCCACTTGAAGTGCGGACCTGGAAATGAGATGTGGGGAACAGATCATCATATTGCTGTTGGGCAAAAAAGCTGTGTGAAGGATAGGTTCAAAGGAAGGAGAGGAACATTGTTACCACCCATGAGGGGCTCCCAAACTGATAGAGGTGACTAGAACCCCCAGTCTGATGAGCTGCTAATTAAACCCATTTTACAGGTAAGGAAACTAAAAGGTAGCATCTGCCTTAGTGAGAAGGGAGCCTCAATGAGGAGGCCACTAGGGGTGCTGCTTCTCTACTTCTGCCAGGACCAACTGATGCACAGCTACAGGAAGCCAGACTTGGTCCTAAGATGGGAG